AAGAGCTTTAGAACAAAGCCGATTTTCGTCAAAGAACGACCAGATGATTTAGTTTCTGTTTTCAGTACTATTAGAGCGTAATGATTACTGCTTTTTTTCAAAGAAAATTTCCACTATGTTTCAAGTCAATATGCAACGTGCATGAAGTATTCGAAAGCATATGAGAATAAGCATTAACAATGCACAACCATTCGGAAAAGCCCTTTATTACACTTCAAGACACTCCAATGAGCATTTGGGCCAAGCTTCCAATTTCCCTATTTATAGTGAGTTTATCTTGGAAAAGTACAGAAGTTGTCGAGCCCAGACGAGAAAGTTGACACATGCTTAAAAAGCTATTAATACGAAACATTTGACATTCTACTAGGGAATAACGATCAATCTATTGATTAACCGTTATCCGCTTCAGCGCTATTCTGTTATCTTGGACAAACTCTTCAAGGTCCAGTATTCTAGTGCACAGATGCATAAAGAAGTGCGTAAAAAATATCAATAAAAAATATGAATGGACCATATCCAAGCGCACTTTTTGACTGAGAGAATGGGGAAGTGCCGATTTGCGAATAGTCATTTTACATGTCTGCATCAGGTTTGCATTTTGAAATTAGAAATGCTTGATTACGCATTATTCTAAATTTGGAAAAAAAATGCAGCCTATATTTATGAACTGAGCCTAAATAGAAAATCTGTGCTGCGTCTCCTGCGTCAACCCAAAATGTAAAGAAGACATGAAACGATTTTAAAAAAAGATACACAATTGATGTGGAAAGAAGGTGGCACGTTAACCCCAAGCAAGAACATGAAGATTCCATAGAATTCAGAAATTTAGGGTTACCAATAATTACTTTCACTTTCTGGCTCTTGAAATACAAACGTGATCACATTCATGAGCAGAAGAACTGCTTATGTAAATAGAGGAATCAGTCCGTAGTAACAGCTGCTTTAATAAATGAGATATAAGCATAAATGGTCGCGAGAAATACTAGTTTGCTAGGTTTGTGGTTTCTATTCTGTGCTCTTATTTCCTCACACTTTCAACTCCTGATACACTCGCATTTTTATTGGATTTACACAATTTCTGGAATATTTTTCAAAGCGCTCTCTTCGCAATATCAACTAAGCTGCACCTGGGCATGGTTTGAAAGCTCATTCCTTGCTTTTCAGAACCATATTCATAGCAACCCAAGTTATTATTTCTTTGTTTTGCTTTTAGAGCTGAAAAATGAAGTCGACAAACGTCAGCATTCTTGTCAATCAAAGTTTCCATTAATTAACGCGATTTTGAAATTTTCCTAAAAAGCAAATTCATTTGCCCTTGGGACCCCTTAAAAAAATGGTGATGTTGTTATGCTAGAATCTTCTTGGAACATTGCTCGTTGTTTCCATGCTGTTTGATTTTGTTTTAACTATCAAGTAAGGAGAAACAAATATTAAGCTGGCAAAGGAAAACCTTATTAATAGAGTCAAAAATTTTAAAGTGTCCTGTTGGACATTTGAGATCGTTTTAGAACCAATTCATTCAAAATGCTATCAAAAGTAATCGAGATATAGTGCCATTGTTGCTTACAACAGGAGAACGTCATTTTATGAAATGGACAACGCCTTTAGTCCAAAATCGCTGGACTTTCTAGCGAAGCCATTGCTCAGCCGTCATGGAAGATTATGTTTTAGCTATGTTGAAAATTCAAAATATGATAATCTGTTGGTACAAGGCTTCGGAGCTTAAATGGATTGTTGAAGTACAGGAGTAGCCTCAAACTCGGAATTCCTATTTTTGAACGGAGTATTTTGAAATGCGAAAATGCCACTTTGAATACAGACCACCCTAAAGAAGTACTTTTCGACGTACGTAACTTTTTCCCCACAGCAAAACAAACATTTCTTGCTGCTTCGCTAACTTTTTGGCTTTGATTAAAATAACGTTGGTGTTAAAATGTTGTTCTGTGCCGACTCGACGCTCCTATTATGAGTACAGTAATCGGAACAAAGTCAAACGGAAGGAAGAACGATGAGCGATGTTCCGCAAAGCAAAAAAAGTGCTCTTAAACCATGGCTCGACAAGAAATTTAAGAGTGATAAATTAGCATCACAGATACGCGACAGACAACACACCCTTCACAAGCAAATCCAAAACCTCCGCTTTGGATTTTATAAATATCTTAGTGCTTGTTTGCTCAAATAGAGATAATTAGATAGGGCTCATGTCTTTTTCCTTCTAAATCAAATAACGTTCCATGTTTCCTAGTTAAAAGTCTTTATTTTCATTGAAACGTCGTGTGTATGAATCGTTAATGACATGCTTGGCAAGGTATAAAATACATTATAGAGATATGCAGCATGTAATCAATTGACGGCATATAAGCGTATTAACTTAATGCAACCTAAGGAGCAACGCTACGCTTGAACAGTTGCATACCTATTTTCAACACAACTTAGCAGACAAACCTTAGAACACAACAAGTTTCTCACAACTATGATCATGGATGGTCCAGGAAAGCACACCCAAATTAGTAAACACTTTCAGTATGTACGTTCAAAATGTACGCCTTGCGAAGTTTAGAAGACTAGATTATGTTTGGATTCCTGAAGAAGCAGCGATAGGGGTGGATTCCCGGGCCAGCAAACTCAATCACAGAGATAAAATGAATTAATTCAAGGACACTGTTTGAAAAAGTCAGTGAAAATTTTAATCGCGATTATGAATTGCTGCTGCAATATGAGAAATTAACAAATGATTTTTTCAAAAGCCGTTTTGTTTCTAGCACTGTACGGAAATCAAACAAGAAAACGTTGAATTACTGTTATACCTGAATAAGGAAGTAAGGCAAAATACAATTATGGAGCAGAACCACAAGAGGGAGAACGAAAAGCCAACAATTACTTAACATCTCAAGTTCTAATGATGCGTTCATTGTAACAAAGCCGTCCGATAATCAAAATTTGATGTTTACGGCGTTCCTTGTATCCACGCTCCCATTTATGTTCATTTTTTGGAGTGCGGCAAAAGCAGCTTCTTCTTTCTTTTCCTTCTTTCGGTTTCGTCTCTCAAATTCTAGCCTGGAATGAACTATGATCATCAAGAGAAGTGTACGTGAAAGCTTTTGTTGGGAAAAATTTGTTGTAATAGTTTTTCAGGAAAAGGAAAAAGAGAGGTAGCTTTGGAAGCTCTTACCATCACCCCACTGATAAGTTATAAAAGTCAAATTGTTATTATTCCTTGTATATCGAAAGTCATCAAATGAATTCCAATATCCAATGAAGAATATCAAGCAAAAGCTAGGGCGTCCCCCGGAAGCGACGCGCACACGAGCCCGATTGGTGCGAATAGTGGGCAAGGGCCACGAAGAGCGAAGGCGAGGGCTAGCTCTTCGAAGATACTTGAAAAAGTAAAAAGACTTTGCTTAGCTACTATCAATGTTGGAACCCTCGCTGGGCGACATTATTGGCCGATCTTTTGATCGGCGGAAGACGGCTGGTGGATATAGCCTGAAGTATGATATAGCCGGAAGACTTCAAAATGAGTTTTCTATCAGGACAAATGCAGCCTATAGAAAGAACCTTCACAGGAGTTCTATGCGACAAACGAATGCCAGTGCAACCAAGTCCCAAATACGGTATTTTGATCCGTCTAACAGTGCTGTATGGCAGCGAATTTTGCCCAGCAAACGAAATAAAGAACACAAGCAGCGTCATGGAGACAAAAATGCTGTAGTGGACATTGGGTTTCTCCCTGTTAGATCATGTCTACGATGACACAGTTTCAGCTAGGATGAAAGTTGCTACTTTTCTTAAGAAGTTACAGGAAAACTGCGATGGTATGAGCATGTCAGTAGAAAAGATGAGAATTACATCTCAAAATGGCAATGTCACTAGAGGTCGCTGGAAAAAGACCACGGGGAAGACCAAAGATGAGGTGGATAGACAGAATCAGAGCTGACATGGAAGAGCTTAGGATAGCATCATGAATTGAATCGAGAATACTGGAGACAATTGACTCGCATAGCAGACACTGCGTAAGCGGGAAAATGCGAAGATTAAAAAGCTAGTGTGTAACATAACGTTTTAGAAATAGGGCTATAACCAAACACTGCTACAGGCTGGAGAGCAGAAAGAACATATTCCTTCTTGTGGATAGAAAATATTCAAGATCACACTGCACTTATGTTAAGTGTAAGAGTAATATGCACACGGCCAGCTCGAAGATATTAATTTTTCACCCATTTTTTCAGATTTCTGCTTTTTGATAACATTCTAACCTGCCTAAACTACTCACACAGCCTACTGAAAACTCCCAGTGTTCCAATGATGGCTAATGATACATACCTTAAAAAGTGCATGGACCCATTATACAACTCTCTAAAGCCTGTCTGTCATTAAAAAAAATATTCAAGTTACAAGAGAATTGAAAGAAAACTTAGTTATCACGTCACTACTAATCGATGCAGGAAAGTAACATTTGACACATGTAATGACACATCACCTAGTCTTACCTGTGCTCAATTATCCGCTCAATAATCTTTTCCGTTGTCATGTCACTCCCCGAGTCTACTTCACAATAGATTCCTGGATATAAAGACAACAAATTGAAATTTTATACGAGTGATAAGATCAATCATACCCCTCCGTTTCGGCGCCTCGAAAGGATCGTTTCCAGAACGATCATGATGAGGGACACGACTTCCTTGACAAACCACCTAGAATTTCTTTGTCCAATCATGTTTGGTCTTGATAAGATCTCGGACTTGACATATCGTGAATAAAACAAAGACCCAAGGGAAAATCTTACCGAAATGTTGAATCGCTCAATGATGTCATCAGATACACAATATGGCGCTCCAATGACAACCTCGTTGACTGGCTAAAAGAGGGAATCTATAGAAGAAAGGTGTATTGCAATGTACTTTGTGAATTAGTCACCTTGTATGCTAGAACACTAAGAACTCTTTCGTGAAGAGACATGATTGGATGATTGCTCCCCTTCACATCATTAATTACCTGTAAGGTAGCCGTTAACTCTTAATATTGTAATTGAAAGTGTAAGATGATTACTTGATCATTCAATATTCCAACAATCAGGTAGTCGCCAAGTTTTGCCGCCTCCTCTAGGAAGGACAAATGACCAATATGAAATAAATCGAAGGCTCCGCAGACATACACTATCTGAACAACATTCATAGATGGGGCTGCCGACAATATGGTAAGTATTCATCACAATGACAATGTGAAAAGTTCTTTTCTCTCACTTTATCAGTTGGCCTGGGAGCTCTCCCTTCAGCAAACTCGATGATTGTTTGTGTTGTCGCCATGAAGCGCGATACGCGCGTCCACGGCGACAGGGCTACACTGTCCTGAAAACAAGGCTGTGCTACATTCCGTTGAGGCTGCACCTATTCACAGATTCTTTTGCATGGACAAAGATCTGAATATGGTCTATGACCATATAATTTGGAGATACAGCGAAAAACGGCAGCGACATAATGCTCATTACAAGATTGTTTTAATGTTTCAAACAACTTCTAATCTCCTCTTGCTTCTTCAACTTCCTTTATCCTTTCTAAATGGAATTTTCGTAGGAGAAAAAAAAGAAGGAACCTTGTATGACATGTGTGGCCTCAAAAATTAGTGATAAAGCACTAGCAACTGCATAGAAAAAATTCGGATCTAATCGTAGTCTATAGAACAGCATTCTTGTGACTAAGTTACGCATCCTGCAGCAGCAATAAGTGTTTATTAATTGAAGATAGGTTCACACAGCCGCTAGAGATAAAACTAGGTGGACGATATATGGACTTGAATAAAACGTAATGTTATTACAGAGTGAGTAGAACATTACTCACGATGGAAGAACTTTCCTAGTTGACAGGCAACAGAAGGTTTTATGCTTTTGGCATGAAAAAGTCACAAACCAGGTTTCTTAAATTTGTAAAAGAGATGCTCAAACAGTGAATGTTAACGAATGATCAACGTATGAAGAAAATTTGATAATTGTGTGTATACTAATTTTTATTGACTTTTGTGAGCAAGGAAAGGGAGGCAACCAGCTTTATTTCAAATGCTTTAAGAAATAGGGGATGCTACTTTACATTATGCAATTAGTTTG